TAGCTGTACCGCTTATCGCGGTCGACTACGTTTTCAAACGGTGAAAGTGAAATTCTTCCTTCGCTACATTGCGTTCCAATCCTTCGCACTTTCGCGCCCGTTCACCCTTTCATGTGGTCGTATCTCTACTGTTAGATACTATATCTACATGTGTACATATATTTAAACATTGGATAACACTATGCATGCTGTTTTAAGTGTACCTGCAACAGGTGACAAATTTCCCTTCGCGATGAATGGTCTACGGACATTTGCGTATAGCATCTTTAGCGTGCAGAAATATTACATATGTTAAGAATGTGAATAATATAGATCATGGACTAAACTTTTATTCAAAGTTTCTCAAATACCGTGGGTGGGAATATTCGGTTTCCAGGATATAGGAAAGTTTGATCGATACTTGAAATGTTTAACCAACCATGATATGGCTACTGAACGGTAGTTCAGTAGTAGCAGAGGTGAACGGGATGCCAAGAAAACGGGTTAAGAGTCCGCACGGGTGGACGTTGGTCGACGAAAATATCGAAAATGTGGAACACTTAAAGCTCGATCGTAAAACGCAACGAGAACTGGGTTGTTTGGTCGGCGAACACGTGTTCCTGGAATACCCGTGGGCGTTCGTTCCCCGGGACGTTATTGTGAGGTTTGCCAAGATACCGGATTCGCCTCTAGCGCCTTTTCAAGAAGAAATCGAAATTTATAAATCCGATACATTCCTGCTGGGTTATTCTTCCGATCAGTTAATTTCTGACGATTTCGTGATCTGCCTCACTGAAAAAGCGAAACACTTTGTTCGACAAACGAATAAAAATATTACTAATTCCATTTTGAACAGAGTTATTAGCAAAGTGATAAAAACCAGTAAATCTTGGAAGTCGTTAGGTAGCGATATAGAAGTGGATGAAACGTTTGTGAAAAATACGAGGGATTTTTTTGAGATTGAAATTGTAGTCCCTGGGAAAATATTAGGCTCCTGTCAGGTACTAACTGATAGAAATGCGAATGACACGAGAGACAGCTGTGTGCAGCTCGTAAACGCAGATGAAAAATTTGAAAATATTGAGAGAAAGTGCATCAGTAAATCTATTCAGACTCACTTACAGTCTCGAGAAACCGCTGTTCAGACGCATATCAGTTATCCTCGAAACGCATGGACGCAATACGTGTACAAGGACACTTTGAACGAAGCACCTGCTGAGGACCTCGAAGATCCTGAGGAAGAAGAACAATTGCAAGAAGAAGCGGAAGGGAACGGTGGATCGCTAGATAAACACACTTGTGAGAGTAAAGAAACTGACGAAGAAACCAGAGAAAGAACGCCCTTGGAATTATTTTTAGATGATGGTTTACCGGAAATGATAGATACGATTAAATATAATGCAGCCGTTAATCTGCATGTAGATGACGTACAAAATTTATCTCAAGATGTTCGTGAAGTGAAAACTTTTTCCTCGACGCCTATGTTTTGCGAACAGCTTTCGGTTATTAATTTAAATCTCACGGTCGATAAAGCTGTATCGGATGTAAGCGTACACAATGCATTAACTGAGTACATAGCGATTTCGTATCGGACTTGGAAAAATGGCTGCGCGAGGGAAGGCGAGTTTCAGACTAGAGTGCTTATTTGGAATTTAAATGATCCTCTTCGACCGCTATTGGCACTTCAAGATCACAGAGAAATCTACTCCGTCAGTTTTTCACCACGCAATGACAGTCTGGTGTTAGGAGGCTGTTCGACCGGTCAAATTGTTATTTGGAACATCCACGATCATCTGTGCACAGACAGAAATACAAAACTTGGAGTATCGTTACAAAACAACTTGCCAATGTTTCGACCAATCGTCGTGTCTGACAAACACGGATCACATCGTTCGTCTGTTCGAAAAATTCAATGGATACCAGCCAAGTACAGAGTGGAGCCAAATGGAAAGTTAACAAAACCATCAATTTCTTCTACAGTGCAATTTCTAACTGTTTCCAAAGACGGCACCGTATATATTTGGGACCTTCGTCCTGACGATGAAGATTCTCACGAACTACTTCAACCTACTCTTCGTTTAGTGATTCGAATTTCAAATGAAAAATCGGTGAACTTCAGTCCGTTGTGTGTGTGCCTTCCATCTATTAGTGTTTTACGCGAACAGAATTCGAGTTCACGGGACGTGAATAAATTTGATCTGAAAGAGGAAGATTACTTGAAGAGTTTATGGATTGGCTGTGCGGAAGGATTGATAAAGTGTTCATGGAAGGAGCAAGAGCTCGAGGAGAAATCAGCAGAGATCATTGAATGCGACACTTTGTATTGCTCGTATGCGCACGATGGTCCCGTTACGGAGATCACACGGTCCCCGCATCTTCAGAACATTCTGTTGACAGTCGGTGGACAAGTGTTTGCTATTTGGAGCGATAATTACATGGATTCTCCTTTGTTTTGGAGGAAAACTTGTTCAAAATACACGACTTGTTGCTGGGCCAATGAACCCGGAGTATTTCTGCTGGGTAGCCAAGACGGTAGCCTTGAAGTGTGGGATATAAAGAACGAATCGAATAAGCCAGTACTTTTACAAGTCGTATCGACGAACTCGATTACGCACTTGATTCTGCTAGAGTCTTCTGTATTCGGTAGTGCGAAAATGTTTGGAGTGGGTGATCGCGGTGGATTATTTCGTGTGCTCAAGGAGCCCGAGATTGTTAGCTGCAACGACGCGCTGGAGAGGATGGATTGGTTCGAGGAGTACGCGTGGCGTGAGCTGCGAAGGAAAAAAGTTTTCACCGTTTGGCAAAATGATTTTCTCGCTAACGATCCCGCCGTGATAGCAAAAAGATCAGCTAGGCGTGACGCGGAACGTAAACGAGAAGCGGAAGAGGCGAGGGAAAGGCTGCGCCGGGAGCAAGAAGCGCGTCTACGGCTGGAAATAGAGAAAAGGGCGCGTGACGCACCGATCCCAAAAGATATCGCGTGGAAATCGAAACAATTTGATAGGATGAAAGAAGATCTTTTAAATAAGAAGAAATTAATTCCTTCCGTGCTTGAAGCAAAGAGGCTTCCTCTGGTCGTGTTGAATGCAGAACGAGAAGCGAAATTAGAGAAAGTTCGGGAAAAGATTGCGCACCGAGATGCGTACTTTTTAAATGAACTGTCCGCAGAATTTTTACAAATTCTCGAATCGAAGGTAGAAGTTGCGAAATTCGAGAAAGCCATAAAACTGGAAAAATCAACCGACGATTACATGCAGAGATTTACTGAATTGAAACGTAGATTTAACGAAGAGATAGCAAATTTAATTGTTTCCGATTGCGTAGATAAATAATGGCAGTAATAGATTATATGTACATTAGATGTATAAAGAAAAAGCAAATAAACTTGTAAATTGAAATCATTCGATTGAGACTTTTATGCTTCTCTAAATAGAATTCGATAATGAATTGATCAAACATTTACGAGACTATGGAAACTGTTTTAAATGATCTATATAAAAATTACATTTTTCTTTAGAAAGGTATTCTTAAAATACAATGTGAAATTAATACTTAAGTAAAGAGATTCAATTAAATGCGTGGTATTTTATTTTTGTTTCAGGGCATTGGTATAATAGCTATGGCATGCGCATCTCCAGCCTACGCAGGTGCAACCGATTGGTTTCTCTTCGTTTCCGTAACGGCTTTCATTGCCACATTGTTATGGTGTTTCATTTACGTGCTATCGATCCGAGAATCGCTTAAGTTACCTATCAACTGGATTATGACGGTAAACACTTAATTAAAGTACAATTCCTTATTATTATCATTCTATTCGATATCTATAAGACATGATCAATTTACAGGAACTCGTAAACACGTCAATATTCGCCGTACTTTACATGATCGCCTTCATAGCGCAATTATCCGTCTGGAGCGTAGTACATCATACGTCTAGCTCGAGGAATATTGCCGCAGGGGTAAGCCCTATTATATTCTAGCTTATTGCGCGTTAAGGAAAAGAGAATGTGGGGCACGAGTTTTACGATCCTGGTAAAGCCGTAAAACCAGTTTTCGTTTCTTAACGAGCGCGTTAAATCACCATCAGACGCGACAATAAAGTAACCGTAAAAATTTTGACATTCCACAGGTATTCGGGATCTTCAATACGATCATGTATGCTGCTGGAGCGTATTTCTTGTTTGTTGAATGGCGAAGTGGCAACTCGCAGTGAAGATGAGCGAAGGTACATCAAGAGACATTAGGTACCTGAAGACCACCTACGATAAAGCTACCACACTTGGGTTTCAATTATTCTATGACCAGTGCAAGGTTGTAGAGGAATGGGTCGAAGCTAGTCCAACCTTGGCCCTGCCCGATAATGTGTCGTAGCTTAACGAGAGACTCTATAATCAATCCCTGTGCCTTAAATGTTAGTTGACTGATCAGCCGACCGCGCGATTCAGTCGCATTCTTCTTCTCATTCGGGATCGCGCGATCGTGTATCAGCGGCAGTCTGCGACTACGGTTTTTCTATGAGATCACGTTCAAGCATAAAAGCAGAACAGAATTTGACGCCGGCCTAGGACGGGTTACTGTGCCGAAGAAAGTACCAATGATTCTGAAGGTGTTAATAGACAATTAAAGTTTTGTTGAGTTTCTTCTCGCTGCGCTCCTGTATTTTTCATTGTACAAACGGTTGCATTATCAAGAAAAAGAATAAAATCATGCCTATATGGCGTCAATAAAATTCATATTAAACATAGATCTTCCAAATTTTACAAAATTTATTCACTATTTCGGTTGTTAATCATACGTACATTTTCCGATACTTTCCCGTCCAGTTTTCTTTTCTAACCGTACATTTCTCGCACTACCGCGTTTTTTATTTATACATATGTATACACGCATTAGTTATAACACATCTATACATATACAAATATTATATATATATATATATATCTATTTTATATAGGTAATATATTTGCACAAAGTGAATGGAGTACATTGTTTTACTTTTATTTTTTATTTTCTTTCACTCATAGAGAACACTTATGCAATTTGCATTCATCGATGTAAAAACAATTTGTTATTACGGGTGAATGAATATTTTTGAATACATTGTACTTTTTCTGTACACATTACCATTGAAATATATGTTCGTTTTCAATATTGTCTTCCCTATATTTACATGTATACATTCCACTGAGACATTAAACTTCGAAGTCGATCGAACAACAATTGTTCAAGTTATCCTGTAAGCCGATTTCCAAAGAGGACCTCAACAATTTAACATACTTGAAATGAAATATAAAATAAAATTATACTTCTACACTTGCACCGATGTTAAATTCTATTTCAACTCTTCGATATTGTACAATTGAACACATGTAATTTAAAGGTAAATACTTTTTTTAAATTAGACTAATTGTAAGTGACTTCTGTTTTTCTTGAAATCGATCGGTGTCGAAACAAATGACAGATATTGAAGCATAACGTGATTAAAAATGCGCTTGTCACGATTTTTACTTGATTATATCAGCGATAACCAATTCCAATGAAATTGTCAACATGTATTTAATGAATATAAATGTTCAAAATGCGATATTCCAATTTTCTTCATATGTTTCTACAGTATTCTTATCAGGTTGAATTCATATTAAAAAGTTATCTTTTACACTAATCCTCAAAAAACGCAGGTTGTTCCAAATTGCGTGTTCAGTTTTGCTCTTAACCGTTTATATGCAATAATATCTATACATATATATCGAAGATTAGTGAGAGTGTCTATAGAAAATAGTACTGCTGTAAGAAAAGAAGTGAAACAAACACCTATTTGCGAAATCTCGAAAACAACGTGACTGTCCTTGCCTCTTAAAAAACGACAAAAGAATTACGATAAGACGATTTATCAAGATAGAATTTCCAGAATTTTTATCAACCTTGCTTATGAATTAAAAAGCGTAATACACGTATTATGTTCTTGCGCGTGTCTACGTTCGTTCTCCATGAATGTGAACCATGATATCATGAATGACGTCACTCGTGGTAGCGCGTCGGGAACGCAAGCGTGCATTTCAGTCAATCTCAGAAGCTCGAGGTGTGACCACTATCTTTTTAAGGTCAGTTACAAGCATTGTGCATATTCTACAAACCGCCTACATTTAGTGAATCGTGAACCGCGAAACGTGTGGCAAATTATCCAAGGTTCAATAATAATATATAATATCCGGTTAGCGTTTCTATACTGATAACGTGTGAAACGAAAATACACGGTTGACCTTACGTCGGAATTATTTTTATCTTAATCTTATTTGAAGAGTGCTTCCTGCGGTGCATGAAATCATTCCGATATTATAAAATCTATCGACTGTTGCGAATTTACGCAAAGCAAAGAATTGTTAAAGTTAGTTCAGTTTCGTTATAATTTTTTACCTAGAAATATAAAAAATTACGAGGTAAGCACGCATAGATATTATTACGAAAGAAAGTTCAGAAGAATTTTATATAATTTTGTGGTAACTCTATCGGTTTGTTCTGTAGATGAGTTTTTATTTAAAAATAATTGATGACATCATGTTATACTGCCATAACTGTTTACAGATACTGATACTATTTCCGGAATATCCGTAATATGAAAGATATAAAACGCAACACTTTTCTTATCAAACAAATTTTTAATTAATTGTGTTCTACGTTGATTTTGCTACTATTTTGTTCCGTATTTCGTTGACCTATGAAAGGGAGAGTAATTTTTACGGTCTGTTATTGATCCGCCAGAGCTTTTGGGGATGCGTTTAGATGCGGGAAACGAAAGCGAAAGCATCTATTTCTCTTACAATCAAAATACTCCTTCTAGCATCACTACCGCGTGTTGAAATTAAGTGTTCTATTTTTATTCGTTCCTTGGCGAATGCCTCAGCGTAACTCGAAAAATTTAAGAATGAAATTAGCGTAGAAGAACATTTCTAAATTTTTTCTGGCGCAAACGAAACACGGGATTGGTCGTTTATTCTTGAGTCTTAAGAAAGGGAGAATCATTCGTTCACTGAAATGTAGGTCACACCTTAAAATTTTAGCCTTGGCCCTGTTTCTCTTATGTTAGCGAGGCGGCAGCGTGCTGGAGTCGGTTTTGCAAGAGACGCTCACGTTGTCGCGTGCTGCTTTTAATTTTTAGAATCGGCAACGAAGGAAACAACTATGTCACATTCGGTAACCATCAGGACTCATCAAACGGTGACGAGTAGTTCCACCGCGATAATAATTAACTCCGGTTATCTAAAAACATGGAGCGGCATACTTAAATTGGTGCAAGTGGTAAGTTAACAGATGTATAACAAAAGAAATGTTCTATAATGAGGTTTTATTATCAGTATTAAAGTTCAGCAATTAATTCAAAAAAACGTATCACGTGTTTTAATAATATTATTCATTTGCATATTCAAATTCCAACAAATCAGTCGTGCTGAGACCACGTACGTGATTTTCAATGCATTTGAAAAAAATTGAGCGATTTTTAGCGATCTTGGTGCCACCCTGATCGTAGCCTTAATCGGTGTATAATGCGTTTATTAATTAAGGTATTCATTGTCATAATTCTTTCAGTTTTGTAAACATTATTTTCTATATGTATTTTAGGCATTAGGTGCAGTGTGCGTGGGGATAGCCGCCGATCACATTACGAATCACTCAAGGTACAACTTCTTCACCACAGAAATGTTTTTTCTATTAATAACAACGACGTTTATGATCGGTACTTTCCTCTTGCTCATGAGTTGTTTAATTTCTCTTTCGACGTCCTCAATTATGGCGAAAACCATGCACGTAAGTGTTCGTGTTTCAATAGTACATCAGACATGCTAAGGTATGCTAAAACGGTTTACACCTTTCTTTTTTAGGAAGTTCTCTATCACTCTATAGCTTTTGGATTGTATTTATCTGCAGCATTAACGTACATGATACGTTTGTCTGATTACAAAGGTTACAGTGAATATGGATTATTATTGGGCGCAGCAGTAAGTTTCGATGACATCTTCTTTATCATTAGATATGTAATTTAGTAATTTTACGCTTATTGTTATTTCTTTCAGATTTGCGGTTTGGTAAATGCGGCATTATATCTGTTTAGTACAATAATTGCTGTTCGCACGTATAAAGGATTTTAAAAACATTATCGTGTCTTCTGCTACCAAATTTTGAGGCCTTCATAAATTTTTGAATGCTATTAAAACTTTTATAAAACTCGAGCCTTATTCGGAACGTCTCTTTTTATACAGAAGTTTGCCGTTTGATAAATGTCTATCGTATTTTATATATCTATACCATAATTTGCCAAATTAAAGAGATTTCATTTTAGAATTGTATAAATATACAATCTTTGTATATCGCTTATGGGAATCGTACAATAAGTAACGAGACAAAGACTGCTACCTTCTAACGCATTTAATGAATTCTTCAATTTATTTACATTCAGTTTATCGCTACAATATAATACACTATTTTATTATCAATTATTATTATTAGAAATTTGTAATAAATTATCATTACAGACTACTGGTAAAATTTTTTAAGAGTGGAAGTGGAGGGCACAACAAAGCTGACATGCATATTTTCTTTAATAAAAGTAGTAATAGAACGACATATTATGGTTGTGCTTTAAGAAACCTCATATCGAGATTTCTCGGCTACTTTATTACATTTGCTTCATACCGATACTTATTCGTGGTCACCGCGATAAGCAATTTATGTTTACAATCTCGTTACTGGCCCGTACAAAACAATGAGTCTGAACTAAAACTTAAATATTTGGTGTTTCATACGGTTCCTAAAAACACGTCGCACATTGAGATGTATTCATCAAATTCAGAAAAACATATATATTTATTGTACTTATATACTTGTAATATTTATATTTTACGATTTATAACAATGTAATAAAACTGTACAAAAACATATCTGTAATGACTACGAGGTCGAATGATTCAAGCACGAACGACTCCTTCCTAAAAGAAAGCCTTGTTCTCTTCCTTTATGCATGCACATCAACGTACGACTGACGTAATTATGACTCAGAAAAATTTAAGTATAACGTCGACAAAAACGATACTTTCGCACGACCATTGACAGGACGTGGATCTGCACGTAGCCTATGTACATATACGAGAAACGTTTCGATGAAGTTGCACGAACGGAGAGAACAGGATACTGCGGTAGTCTGACACATAACGACAATTCAATTACATTATGCGTGCGACTAAATATGCGTGAATAAACAAAGAACATTTTTTTTCTGCATAGCTCCTTTTTTTTGCGATGCACAATCGTACATTTAATATTTTTTTTTCTTTTTCCCGTGTCCCGACCGTACATCTGGCTCGGCTACGCGTTTTGGCGAGGCGCGTGCCAGAAATAGACGTCGGATGCGACGCAGGGGGTGCAACGACATTTAAACGAGTTCTTCATCAACCGAGAAAGCACCCTCAGTTTGTTGGAAACTGTCGCTCGCGAACGCGGTTCTCCTTTCCCCGCTTGTCAATTCGTTCGTCGGTCAACCATCGGCAATCTCAGTTTTGATCCTCGGTCTCTCGTTCCAATGCGAATTAATCGTCGTTTAACCAATTAGGCCGATCGCATCAAGAGTCTGAGTGTACGCGGAGACAGCTTAATGAGCCTATCAATCACGTGTCCTAACGTTTGTACTGGGAAGAGTTCTTTCAAACCGTGCAAACGAACTCTCTGCGCACGGTCGCGTTGCTTGTTGATTGCAATCAACTAACTAAAGTCGCATTATGGGTAGAAACGGAACAGGACCGGTGATCAGGATGTCTTCCGCAGGTACGCACTCCGCCGGAGGCGTCGGATGTTGTTTCTGCAGGTGCTGCACGTGCATACATGTGGAATTCCTGAAAACCATGCCTGGTATCTTGAAACTATGCGAAACGGTAAGCTCGACGACACAAAGCGAGTTAGTATATGTATAATAAGCGGAGTATTATAATCAATTAGACGTCCCTTTAGATTATCAGTGGATTGATACAGAGTTTGTTAATTAATTATGGCTTGAGATACAGTACCACGATTGGATCAGCTTTCGAAGGGTCTCTGACCACGTCTTCCGCTTGCTTTTTAACGTCGGGGGTGTTACTCGCCTGTTACGTTGTGTCCGAAAAATCGTACAGATTAATTAGATCTTCACTCTTTGTATGTAATTATTTGCACACTATTATTTAATGATATTATAGATTGATCGGTTTAAATCAATTTTTTACTTTTCTTTAGGAAATAATGTTCAACGCTCTCGCTTCCTTTTTGTATTTAAGTTCAGCTTCCTATTTGGCATTTTCGACTAAGATATTTCTTCTACCAGAATATTACATCAGGCCCGGGTTCGATGTTTATCCTGCAATGACAGCCGCATACGTATGAACAATTATTTATTTGTACGTTCATATTTTTGTGATATATTTCTGAGTACGGAGTGACAATTGTAGATGATGAGCGGCTTCGTAGGAGTGATACACGCAGCTGACACGTATTTTTCTTACACGCACTATAAGACCGGAAGATGAATTCTACAAGGTGAAGGGGAGCACAATTCGGGAGAAGCGGAAGTGAAGTTATTTATAAGTGCCTTTAATCTTCAGTATGTATACATGTACATAATATAGCATTCCAAACTTTGATATATTTAACGAAAACGTTTATTTACATACATAATAC